GCTGCGGGAACCCGGGAGCGTGATGAGGACACCCACTCCCAGCCCGCCCACTGGGGACCCACACGGCAGGCCCTGACCAACGACCACCCGGCCCCTCCCTTCTCAAGCACTCATCCCTGCTCCCCGGCAAAGCCCTGAGCTGCCAGGCAGGAAGAGAATGGTCCCAGTGAAAAGGCCTCCAGGCCAAACAGGGAGCCCAGGAAGACAGAGGGCTGGGGAAGAGGATCCCTGAGATATCACTGTGGGGTGGAGCGGGCAGGGAGGTTGCAAAACTGAGTTGCAGAACTATTTGAAGACTAAAACAAGGAACCTCTGGGGCACTGAATCACCCAGGGAAAGCCTCCCTGAGTCTGTGAACTACTCGGCCTTTGCCAGGAAATGGAGAAGAAAGCAATGAGGAACTAGAATCCTTGACAGGAGTGGAGCTTCTGGCTCGACGGAGCAGTCTGAGGACAGCTGGGGTCCCACAGACAGAGGGTCTCCGGGGAGGGCTGTGCCGGGTGGTCCTGTGCCACAACCCAGCCCCCTAGAGGGCTGACTCGGGGTGGATTCCACCCCAGGGAGGCCAATGCCCTAGTCTTGCCTGTGGATGCGTCTTTACCAAATTAGTCCACTACCAGGCCAGCTCAGCAACCAAGGGGACTCACGGGGCCTCCGGCAGCCTGAGCCAGTGCTGAGGGCTGGACATGGCCCAAACCACCAGTTTGTCTAGCCAAACTTCAGTGGCTAAAGTTCACTGGCCCTGGGCAGGTAGGGGAAGCACCTGGAGGGCACAGGACATTCTGTGCTTACTGAGTGAGCCACCGCGGATCCCAAAAAACGAGGGAACGGGAAAGGCTTAGGGGGATGCCCCAGGTAAGGACAGCCCAGTCACAGGACGTCCCCTGTGACTTCCATCGCGACCCTGCGAAGGCCCGACCCTTACCCTGATGCCCCACCAGCGACACCACGTCCACGTACAGGGTCGCCCCAGAAACGGCCTCTTTGACCCCTCCCTCTCCTTGGGTACCCCTACTTTCCCCGCCTCGCAGACTCCGCCCTCCTCCGTCATGCGCTTGACCCGCGGCCGCTGCTCTCTGGCGGCCACCGCCCCATTCCCGGTCTCGGGGCCCCATCTCCGCCGAGGGCAAGGACGCCCGCCACCGCGCCCCCGCCGGCCGCGGCACGAACCCGGCTCAAAGTGGTTCTGGAAGACCTCGCCCCCGAAGAAGCTGCA